GGCTCGCGGCGCTGCGGGCTGGGCGGGAGCGGGGTGAGCGCGGGGGCGCGGCGGGAGGCGGCGGCGCTTCGTCGGAGCTGCGGCCGTGCGCCGGAGCTGCGGGACCGCTGTGCGAGTCTCGAGAAGTAACTGCGCGCCGCTCCCCCCACCCCCTATTTTTTTTTATTATTTTTTTAATTTTTAATTTCTGTCAGGCGCTGAGCAGCGCTCGCACTGCCCGCTCTGCACCCGCGGCTCTGCACTCGCCCCGCAGCCGCTCCCGCCGCTCCTCGCTCACACGAGGCCAAGTTTCCGGAGGAGAAGTCTAGACATAAAACGGTTAAGGCCGGCGTTCAGGCACGGAGTTATTTTAAGGAACAGGGAGATGGGGAGCGCTCGGCCGGGCTGCGGGCACGCCGGGTCCCTCCGTGCGCCGCGGGCTGCCGAGCCGAGCTCGAGTCGTGCGCTGCCCACGGCTCCGTGCGAGCCGCTGCCGAGCGGGGAGGAATGGCTTGCGATCGCTTTGGTAGCGTTGGCTCACGTCAAGTGATTCTTTTCCAAGGTTACAGTGGACACGAAAGGTAATATTCTGTGGGAAGAGAAAATGTGCCGTGCGTAGCTTTGTCCTCGTGCTCCTGTTTATTTTTTTGCTTTATTTCTGTTCAGAATAAACTAAAAGCACCGGGCAGAGATTCTGCCCAGCCTTCTGATGTCTGGAAATGAAGCACGGCCTGACGTGCTCACCCTTCCCCGACAGGCAGCGAGCTGCTGCCCGGCGCTGCTCACAGCGAGGTGGCAGAGCAGCTCTCGGCCCCTGCAGTTGTGCTGCTCACCTGCATTTCACTTTCTGAGGAGGCGATAATGACTCCTGATAAAGAAAATCCCATGATATTTAATAGAAACTACGCAGTAACAAGCAGCTGCCTTGACAGAGGGCAGAATTCTTTTTCCCTTCAGTATTATATATATATGTGTGTGTGTGTGTGTATTTGGTTGCTTGACACCTCAAAAAAAAAAAAAACCACAAAAAAAACAGGCATGGTAAAACTGAAGGGCCTTATTCTGAACATCTCCAAAGCAGTGCTGCACATGGTTTGTGTGCTGGTGCAAGGCTAGGAGAGCTGTGTGCAGCACCGTGTCCACAGCACGCCTGCTGCTCTTTGCCAGCACTCTGTAGGTGTAGTCTCAGGGTTAGCAAAATACCAAATAAAAAAGCAATTTTTTTTTTTTTCTTTTACGTATCTGTAGTCAACAAAGTCATTGGCTGCACTGATTCCCCTCCCGGATGACAAAATAGTAATACTGGCAATAGCAGGGCATCTTTCAGGCTGGTACAGCTGTGTGTGACCTGGGCAGTTTGAAGGGAAGCAGTAGCTGTGTTAGGTGGCTCGCTGTATTTAGATGAGTTACGAAGGCACTTATATTACTTATCAAGTTTTGTTATTTTAAAGCTTTCAGGAAAACCTGTAGTTAATATTTTATTCACAAAATCAGAGAACCAGACACATTAAATATAGTTCAGCCAATCTTATATAAGAGAAGTTAATGGAAACCAAAATTCAGAAACAGTTTTTGTTGTACTGTCGTGTGCGTGTTCTCTGTCTATTTTGAATAAAAAGAGTGCTTTCTAGGTAACGGCAGGGAGATTCCCTCTCTGGTTTAGATTTCCAGTAATGATTTGCAAGCTACTCAGGGCCAGGACACTGGCAAAAAAAGAAGTGAATAATGCTAAGCAGGGAAGCAGTTCAACTGATGCTCTACTTTCCTGCGTAAAATTACTCACAGTCAATTTGTGTGGATTCAAGATCTTTGTTCATCAATTTCTGGCTATACCCGAGGTTATTGGATTTTGATATTAATAAAAACGTTAATCTTTTAAGTAGAGCTTCGTTCCATAACGCTGTTTATCTCTATTTTCTTCATATTTTGGGGTAAATTTGGCTTTGCAGTGCTCACTTGGTGTTAGGACTCCATCCCACAGCTTTCCCAGGATTATCTCCTGACAAAGGCGACCACTAAATTGAGCAAGTATGGTGGGATCAGAAATGCCAGAGGGACTGACCCAGCAGCAGGTAAAATGGCAAAGCCTCTTCTGTCTTTGTCTTGTGCCCTGGTACCAAATAGATGCGCAGGGCTGGATCCGGAGCAGTAGGGGTTTGTTGTCTTAAAGTCAACTGAGCAGGCCATGGCAGTGGCTCAGGTCGTGATCTTAGCATCATTACTGGTTGCCTTTCCCAAACCCTGTTGAAAACAGCTCTTGTAAAACGTATTTCTATACTCAGGGATTTCAGAATGCTTAAGAGAAGCACTGACTCATCTTGCTGATAGGCAAACTGAGGCAGTCAGCATGTAAACTGCATGTTTTCAGGGATGTCTGTAAAATCTGAGCGGAGCCAGTAGTTCAGCATGGTCTGTCCCCTCTGTGTGATCCCAGCTAAGCCATCGGAGCCGTGTTGCAGGTGTTGGGAGAGCTTCCCTCGACTTGTGAGACGATACGGCCACCGCTGCTCGCAAAGTGGGTTTTTGTGTGTGGTTTGTTTTTCTATTTTAATCATCTCCTCGAGGGAAAGTATGAGTGTAGCGAACTGTCTTGCTTGGGTAGGTTGGGATTTTTTCCTTGTTTGCTCCACACACACACTTACAGTGTTGATGGTACTTGGTGTTTATCTTAAAGACAGCATGATGGAAGGAATGTGTGTTGCCTACATCAATTCACTCACCCGTATAAACATTTTCAGGAGGAGAGTCTGTATTTGTATTGCTACGTTTTGAGATATTCGGCTTTTAGACTATTAATGAGAAATTTTCACAGGTGGGAACAGCTGTCCCTGCTGCTCATTTTAATTTCTGCGGTACATTATCCAAATTATTGACAGGTAGTAGCATGGCACAAATGTCCAGGACTGAAAGCAGCCCCAGCTCTGCCAGTGGTTGCACTGTGGGCAGCGTGGCAGCCCTGCCCAGCCCTCACTGTGCCGTCCTGGAGCACGTCCTGCCCATCAGCAGCAGAGGCCCAATGCAGAGCGTGCCTTGCAGCGTTGTTTCTCTGGAACCAGCACACGTGGACAAAGTTACCTGCCTCCTGCAGCCCCACTTAGAGGGTTATTGTGTGCGCGATTTATGCAAACATGTCATTTTCAGCAGTTTCCTTAAAAAGTGTATTTTAAGATGGTTCTCTTGCTATCATGAAGACTCGGGGTAGAAATGAAGTCTGCTTGCAAAATACTGCCAAAATACAGATCTGACTGCCAAATACCGGGGAATTTGTAAAATAGATAAATATGAAAAGGGGTTTAAAGGTTCGCATCCGAGATAACCCCTGCAGCAAAGCAAGATAAAAGCCTCCATTGTTGTTAATCTAAGAGCACATCGTATGTCAGAGGTCATGTATTTTACATAAAAGATGTATTGTTTTACATGCTCTCAGGAAGGTGAGGCCTGAGCTATTAGGATGGAGCAGTGCTGTGTCCTTTCGAGTGCAGGATCTGTGTGTGATGTGTGCACCCCAGTGAAGCATGCAGTGTTTCCTATCCATCACACACGTACGTGTTGTGGCCCACATCCCCTGGTATCTCGTCACAAGCACTGGCAAAAGAAATTCTCTCTCATTAAAAGGAGGTGAAATAGCAGCCGATAAAAGCAATACTAATTTCATCTCAAGCTAGCCTTTTTTTTCTGCCTAGAATTCGTAATTGTCAGTGGTAAAGAAAATGCCTTATTCTTACTGGGAAAACAGTTTTTCCTTCCAGAATAAATGGCAAGTGAGTACATCTTCTTCAGAAATAATTTAATGGAGGTTCTCATTTTTCCCAGAGGTTGGTATTCTGCTGCTTCAGTCAAAAGCTTTACCTCCTGATGGAAACGGCATAACTTAGCATTTGGCGAGTTTCAGTAACACCCCCAAAGCTCCACCTCACTGTGTGAATTTCATGAAATGGAGTTTCACGTAGCTCTGTCTTACACATCCACATGTCACTGACTTTCCATTTTGTATGATGTCATCTGTGTCGGCACATTATTGCACGCTTCTTTCTGTCCTCATTAAACTGTGGTAGCCTACACCCCTGCAGCAGGTCAGTGTTTCAGTGACATTGTTCTAATTTTACTCTTCTAAGGTATTTGGTCAATTGATGCTGAATTAATTCTGAGTGCTGTTAGTGGTTTGAGTTAGTAACTCGATCTAAATTAATAAACAAATGTTTTTCTTTTCTCTTGTACCATATGTTGATCCCAATTACATGAACAGAAAGTGGCAGATTGTCATGTTTCTTAAAAGATTACATACTCTTTTGCATAAGAGAGAGTACACAAGATGCAGTAATATACAGGGTAAAAAAAAACCCTGCACGTGCTGTTTTCTCCCTCCTACTTTTTTATAAAGACACTCTTTAATTATTTCTCCCTTTAATACCCACTGTTCTCACCACCTTGGCTTTCTTGGTATGCTTAACCAGAAGAAACCTCGAGACAGTAAACAACTTTTTGAATGGGGCGTGGAGGATGCAGCTAGTTTTAAAATCTTATCTAGGACTGTGTCTCTATGGAAAAGGATGGAAAAGGAAAGGATCCAGAAGCTAAAATAGACGTGGTTACAAACGGTCTTAAAATGCCTTAAGCAAGGAGAACTCATTCAGACAATAGTCAGATTCCTGAAACAAAGGACTGAACTCATATATTATTCAAACTGAAAATAGATTGATAGACATCGAGATTAAGAAAGTTTATGCTGGAGAACAAAGATGTCTCATCTCCACGGTTTTTTGTTGCTTTTTTTTCCTCCCAAAGACCAAGTTGTTCTTGCTGAACTGAAGAGCCGCACACAGGCTGGTACCGATAAGCAGCAGTCCTGTGACTTGATTGTTTTTATTAACTCTCTCTGAAAGTCATTCACCATTAAACACGATTAGATTCGTTTGTTGCTTTATTGATGTTTGTACTTGCAAGGCCGGGGCCAGTGAAACGCTTTGGGTGTTGTTGCCAGCACGGACACGGCGGTCATGTGTGTTCCCTTCTTTTTGCAGGGTAAGAAGAGTGACCTATTTGGGTGGCTGTAACTGAAGATTGCGTTACAGGAGCAACAGCAGAAGGTAAATACAAATACTGTCTTGTGCGTAGTTTCTGGAACATGTTGGAATGGAGGACCTGATCCTACAGACCCCATGAACGTGCTTTAGTGACACAAGTGAAGTTCCTGTGGCAGCACAGGTAGCAGCTGTGAGGTTGGGCTTGGCACGAAGCTTTTGTGGCTCAGACATGAGAAGTCAATGGTTTAGGTGCCCAACAGCATTCCAGGAGAAAGGCCACAAGGATGTCCTTTTTGGCTTCTCACCATGTGCTGTGGGGGCTGTCTGATGGCTGAGAGCAGTTGTGTGTGGATGGGAAGACCCAGCTCTGGTTGATCTTGGTGGCCACGTGGCCAGCATTCATGAGTGCAGGGCTGGGAGCTGCAGCAGCTCTGCCCCACAGCAGGGTTGGTTGTCTTGCTGGGCTGGGTCCCTGCAGAATGGCCCGGTTGGCTTCAGTGCTGTGGCATCCTGAGCTGACACACTGCTGGGTTTGCAGCAGTGCAGCGGAGAGCAGAATTTAGCTGTTGCTCTGTGCAAAATGATTTTTATTTAAAGCAATGTGAAAGTCCCTTCCTTCGGAATTAACTCCTTGCTTCTCTTCTGGCCCAAAGTTTCAAGTTGGAAAGGAATATTAACATCACAAAAGTGGTGATTCATAGAATTAACTTGCAGAAGACAGGAGTGATGCAGATCAGTGTTTGGTACTGAAGGGTGTCATCTGACTGAGGTTCATATGGCTGCTTTATAATCACCTTCTTTCAGAAATTAATAGTCGGTTAAGCACCATAGCAACAAGCAACACTGATGTAAGCGCTGAGCAGTGGCTGCTGCTCGCTGTGATGTCAGTGCTCGTTAGTACTGTTCCCTTGACCTTGTTTGAATATAAAATGGTGATTTCATTTTAAACTTAGAATTTTACAGAATGACTAAATGCATCAGAGTGAATTAGAGCTATTTTTATTTTTAATTCTATTAAAATGTACTTCAAGAGGGAAGAAATGTCCCTGTTCTCTTCTGCTTTAAATTAAAATAGATCTGAGGACGATGTGTTTTTCCTTTTTTTTTTTTTTTTTTTTTAAGTTCTTTGTTGCCAAAAATATATATTTACTGAGGATGAAATGAAATTCATGAAGTTCAAGTGAATATTGCAGTCTTTGGCTGTCCTCGTGGTGTATGGCAGTTGTATGATATATGCCTCTCTTCAATATTTGAATATTACTAGTTGCTTGTTCTTTTTAATGGCAGGAGCCCATGCACCAGACTGGCTGAGAATGTTGGCATTCTTATGGAGCCATGGTTGATGTGTGGCCAGGTGCTATTTGACCTGGGAAAATGAAGAATGTTGGTTGTTATAAATGCAGAACATTACCTCTTCAGCCTGGCTTGAATTTTATAACCTGTTTCTCCAAAAGGAGGCACGTTTTCTGTTCCTGCCGTCAGGACACGACGTATGCCAGGCATTGGGCACCTGGCGTGCATCGTTGTGCAGTCAGCAGTTTGGGTGACATGCAGAATATCTCACTGCAGAGGGCTGTCCCGTCTTCCAGGCTGTGACACAGGTTGAGTCTCACCCAGGAGCTGCTATGCGGGGTTCAGCCAAACTAGAAGATGTGGGAAGTCATCAAGGACTGTAGAGAACACCATGGGCTAACTGTGGTGTACGGATGTGGAACATGCTTTCAAGTATGTTTGTAAACTGCAGAACAAAATTCACAACTTAAAAATAGAGTTTTTCTGTGCATCCTTCAATGGTAGGGCACATTTCTGTGACAAGGTGGGGATTTGCCCTGCTTCCGCTGCGTTGCTGGTGCTATTTACAACAAAATGCTCCAGGATCTGTCCATGATCTTGCAAAACGTTTCGTAAAATAAAGCCATAATGAGTGATGTGTGGTCTAAGAAACTGGATGTCAAATTGAAACTGCCGAGATAATAAACCATGAGAATAGGAGATAGTAATGGAAATAGTGATGGAGTCCTAATTAGAGCCATGCCACTGAAACAGGGGAGGTTAAGGGTTTGGTTGATTGAGTTTGAGCTCAATTGCTCGACAGTTTAATTTCAGGTGAAATCCCATCTTCTGAGTTAGTGGCTCAGCTGCTCGGTGCGCGTGCAGAGCAGGGCTCTGTGCTCCTGGAGGGGCGGCCGCGTGGCCCTGCGTGTCCCAGAGCAGAGTGCAGGCCTGGCCCCGTGTGCAGCAGGATGCTGACAGCGTTACGCTGTGCTTTGGTCCCTGTTTTGTCTTCTGTCGAGTCCACAGAGCTCTGAGCAGAGACTCAAACTGAATAGATGCAGCAAGGGACTGTGATGGTTAAACCTTCGGAATTAGGGGTTTACGTGCTCCTTTATTTAGCACTGCTAGGCATCGTGCCTAATTATCTGCCAGTTGTTCCTCAAAGTAAGAATTTGAATTGAAGTGTTTGATTTGGGGAGAAAGGTGGGGAAATGTATTTTTACGGAATTGTGGACGATGGTGTTGGTTTTCCAGGAGCATTCGTTTGTTTAAAAGTATGTGAAAGCATTTTCAACAATCAAACACCATTCAGCGAGCATTGTAAATCAGGGATAGCTTGTGTGTTGAAAAATTGAAAGGTACAAAACATGCTACTAAAGTTGTACATTATTGATAACAAAAGACACATGCAGACTTTAAGATTGCAAAGATAGAATCCTTTAGAAAACCCTCAACAGGGAAAAAAATCAAGCACAAAGGATTTAGAAAAGTTACACTTAGTTTAAACTTTCAAATCTTAATGCTTGTCAGAGCTAAATGCTAATTGAACATCAGAAATAGTACAGGAGCTGCTTTCTGTAACTCAGTGCCAAATTAGATGGTCAGCAGATAGATCTGTGGGTCTGAGCTCTAACTTTGAATGTATTTACCTATATTCTCCTTCGCTCAGCCTTCAAACCCAGAGGGAAATGGGGATTTGTGAGGCCTGCAGCTGGGGGGATGTCAGTCCTGTAGCTGCAGCCATTGGGGCACCTCTAAAGACCGGCTCCATTGACTTGCTGACGTTGGGAGCAGTTGAAATATCCTGATTGTTAGGGCCTTCGAGTTCCTTCAGCTGAAGAGCACAGCCTGGTGCAAAGCATTTCTGTGAGCTGTGGTAATAGAAATCAGAATGTTACCTGTGTGTTCTGTTCTAAGCCTCCCCAGAAAGGCTGTGTGTACCTTGGGCAGCACAACTGGTTTCAAACCTCACCTTTTGTGAGGAAAAAAAAGAGGTGGGTGAAGCTGTGATTTTTTCTGAAGCAACTGGGTAAAAAAGATTTAGAAAATAGATTAAGACATTTTGGAATAATTTAAAAGTATTTGAGCAAATCTCATTAACATGGACCAGTAGCAAGCTGTATTGAAGACTTCAAAGATCTGTCAGAGGAGTTCTTTCTGTGCTATTGTCTGCCAGCATTAGCAATCTCAAGAGAACATGCTTCTTTTGTTTGCTTTTGGCCCATTTAGCTTTTCTTCTTCTCCTTAATGTTCCTTAATGTATTATAAATCTTCAAGTGGGTTGATAGAAAAATATATTTCTCAACTTTAAGGTAGTCAGTAGCAGGTTTTGATCCTCGTATCTGATACTTCTGGACCAAATCCTTCTGGTCTTCACAAAGAATGTTAAAGTAAGCAAGATTTGGCCAGTATTTTACATAATCCTGCGCTGTTTCTTCCATTTAACTTAGCAGGTGTTCGATATGATCTTCAGCAAAATGCAAGTGCTGGTTTGTATTACTTCATGGAGAGCAGCATCATCTGTTAGAAACCTGTGAAGAACGCAAAGCTCACAGCTGAGCTCTCATGTACAGCAGGCAGGTGTTTGGAATCCTCCCTTCGCCCTTCATGGTTACCAGGAAATCCAGCATGCATCCCAAGTGAGGGACAAGATGTGCCATAAGAGGCACTGAGGCCTGTGAGGGGTTTTGTTCTTTCAGCAATGGCCAGTGCTGTTGAAGATGTTCGGACTTGTTGGCGTGCACCGTTTGGGCAAGGATGTCATAAAAGCTGTATTCAGCAAGGTGGAGCTTGTTCTTGTGCCATCCACGGCCGTGAGCAGCCTCTCCTGTCTTGTATAGAGGGAGGCTTTCCTGTGTGCTCTGTTCAAGAGGTACGCCAGTGTTTTACTCTCTTAACTTGGTACTCCAAGGAAACTACAGGTGCACTGAGCCAAAAGCATAGGAAATGTTAGTGCTGTACGCCACACAATACAGGCTGTGCAATTTCCAGCCTGTTTCTTCAGGACGAAGCTGGCTAATGTGTCAGGGCATGCTGTGTTTTATCGTATCTTGGGTGAGGAAGAATTGCAAATGGCACAGGTAGGAACGGCGTCGGTCTCGTTGTAGATCAGATAGCCTGAGCTCATACTTTGCCACGAGACAACAACGGGAGGGCTGGGAAGATCCAGCCCTGAGGTTTCCTTCTGAGGCAGGCAGGCTGGCGGCGCTGAGGGCACTGCTGCTGTTGCACAGCCCTGTCAGCTTGAAGCCTGCCTTTGGAAGGCACATCGCAAAGACAGCGTCGCTTCTGCGGCACGGAATCGAGGGGTGTGAGCAAATGACACCAGAAATAGACTCTTATTGCATATTCCATATTTTATTTGGTCATCTCTTAGGTCATTGCCTGTTGCCTTCCACCATGTGAGAAGTATATCTTCCGGCGTGCCTCAGTTACTGTCCTACAGCAGGAGCAGCAATATTTTACAGTGGCAGCAGTACAGGACCAGTGATGTCAGTGGGCATTACAGGAGGCCACCCTTTTTATTTGGTAGCTCATGCTAAAGCCAAGACGTTAAAAAAAATGGTTTTGGCCCCAGTTGCCTGCCCATATTTCTCGCTGCAACATATGAAAGCATTTTTCATTGCTGCTAATGGCAGGAACTTCAGACGCCACCTCCAAGATGTTTAATTGCTAAGTGTTTCTCCCAGTGCAATCTGTGAATTTTAATTTGGGGCTCTCCCACCTCTGCTGGCCGTGTACTTCGCAGCGTGCTTTGTGCAGTACAGCTTAATTGCTCAAAAGGGTCA